TCCATTCTGGCCCTTTCATTCGGAGACATCCGCAACCCCGAAGAAGCAAGGTGAGACCGACCCAGCAGTTGAGGCAGGAGGGTGGATGGGGGGAAGCTTTAAGAGGAGAAGGCATTCCCTTCATTTTTTCTGACCCACCCACCCACCCAGATCCAGTGAAACTGCTCACCTGCGGGGACTCGGTTCACACCGCGCGACTTCGGCACTGCCCCATAACTCATGCAGGATGATCCAATGACTGTGCAGTGTGGATAGTAACCTTTCCATCACGTAGTGATGCATACCTAACCTCAATTTTAGGTTCAGGTCCGGATTCAAGTCCAGAGGTTTAGCTATAGGTTCAGTTCCGAACTTGTAAGTTCGGACCTAACCCCATGCATGGCATATACAAAATCGCATGTTGGCAACCTTGCAATGTTGTCTGGGTGAAACTTTGGCCACATAACATGGAGGCCAGTACTTGACGATACCCGATGGCAATGTTTTCTTCATTTTGCAGCAAAGATTTTGCAATCTACAGAAGGTTTTAGGTGGTTTGGAAAGAAAAGGGGTATGTGATATTGTCTTTTATGGTAATAAGTCCGGACTCGATTCTTGACTTTTAGTTTTTTTTTGGACTTGAACCTAAACATTCTTACAAGTCCGGATCTAAATCCAGTGAACCAGTATGCATCACTACGGCATCACGTATTAAACCATGTTTGGTTCCGTGACGTAGGCCTGCAAAGACGCCAAAGCCAATGTGATCCCCGCTCCTTTGTCATGTATTAAACCTTACAGACTGCCGATAGATCCCTTTCATGTCTTTGTTGTTTTTATCGCGAAGCTTTGATTCACCTTACCACGTTCTTTTGAGTTCTCTGTAGAGTTTAAAATCCCGTGTTCCCCTTTTGCCATCCTGATAACAAAATCTTTTTTTATGGACGCTAAAACTCAGTTTCGCCCTTTTATTTTTGTTCACCCTTTCCACTCAATCTAAAAGCGCCACATAACGACTATAGCTAGTAAGTGCTTTTGTCTGACGTTCGAATTCTGAGTCCTACATACAGAACGTTAAACTTCAGGGGGCATTTTGTTTGCCACTTCGATCACAAATATTGAATAAACGCAGGACCCTGTTGACCAGTGCCTGTTAGGAATGTATTTCTGATTAACATGTAAGATTTAGAATAATAGTCGTGGAACTCACTTCCGATCGCGAACTCAAAGTTTATGTCATGTTTTCAAAGTAGATCTATCATTGGAGACCAGTGCATTACGTCGCTGTATGATTATTAGCCATTTCCAAATATGATTTCAGCCTGGTTTCTATTTACGAATAAAAAATGTTAAACCTCCATTTTATATTTACTGCGTATACGTAAATTATAAGCAACGCATCAAACATCATGTTTACCGTAAGCCTTATAAATACGTTTTCGGAAAGGATGTCGGTGCATGCGTGGTTTCGCTAAGGCCACTCCGACTTAATTTAATGGAGGACATCTTCTGAAGACCCCCAAACTAGTGTGCGCGGGCGAATAAAAAAATTCCGGCCGAAAATAAAAATGCTACTAAACCACAAAAATACTCTGTACAAGGCTGGTATCCTGAATTTGCGGCAGTACACAGCGACGTATACGACAAGCTGGCACATGCTGGCTTTTTGCGGAATTTATAAATTGGCACTGTACGTATGTGCTGAGTTCTTGAGTCGTGGTGCCATCCCCCTGAGCTAGAGTTACCACCGGCTCCGTATTGTCGCTAACTACCCAGCCAGGCCTAGAGCCTCAGAGGACGTGATTTTATTTTGAGAACAGGCGAAAATCAATGCGCGCGCGGATGTCATCCATAAAATTAAGACGGTGTGGCCTAAGCATAAAAAAATTAAGCGGCCTCGGGCATTTGGTACAAACAGTATGCATTGTCTGGCTTGAACGCCACGTGCACGTTCTTCTAGGAAACCACCTTGCCCTCGACATGAATACGGGCTGATTCGTCTGCCGTGCGCCGTGACACTCAGAAGCTCACTTCGTCAACGGCTCTGCCCACAGACGTCTGCGCTAAAGAAAGTTGCTGTCGACATCAGGTCTTTCGTCAGGTCTTTAAGGGGACACCTATTATAACTGTCAGTCCAGAAATTGTTCAGGTCAGGAATAGAACTATAGTCAGCTACCGTAAAATTCACTAATACATTATCAAGATGCACATAGTCGGAAAAGTTATCATTTTGATATTTCTTGGACACAGTTTTGCCCAAAATACGACCAGCTTTAAAAGCGAAGATAGGAAGTGCACATCACGACTCGGCTCAATGATTCTGTGCACAGAGCAGAATATCAGTAGCTTCACATTCTCTTCATTTGAAGCAGAAGGTTTGCAAATGATCTATTTAGGCAGTAACCTACTCCGCTCCTTTCCAAGTTTACCCTACATGCCACGTTTGTCCGAACTCTCTCTCAGAAAAAACTTACTTCGAAGTTTTCCTTGGAGATCCTTAAGAAATGCTTCTCATCTCCTTGAGATATCATTAAGCAATAATCGTCTGACAAACGTTGATATTACTGAAGACAGCGCTCCGAGAAACCTCCGTAAACTTTCAGTAGCTTCAAACAATCTACAGTTCATCACGCCCTTTCCAAATCTCCCATGCCTGACACATCTTGTGCTGTTCGATAACAAACTTCGGGATTTCCCTTGGGAATCACTCCTGAACCTTCCACGTTTGGCGGACCTGATTTTGTCCTCCAATAGTCTGGCACGTGTAGGGCCTGGGGGTATCTTAAACCGTCTAAAGCATCTTGAGATAGTCGATCTTCGAGGCAACAACCTAACAAGATTACCTGAAGCGTCTCTGCGTACTGACAGGTCCATCCAACTGCGGTTGGCAGGCAACCCTGTACACTGTGATTGCCACCTTTCTTGGCTGTTCATGTTGGACATAGATTGTGAGAAAAACCCAACATGCTGCCCGAGTCGGGAATACTGCGACTCTCGTACATGCACCATTTGTTCAACTCCGACAACTTTGGTGTCAAATCTAATCTGTGACAACCTCGGGAGAACCTATTATGAGAAAGTCAAGTGGATGCAGTGGGTACTCGAGGGAAAGTGCGCCCAGCCTCGAGTTGCCTGGATGCCGACACGTTCGACCCAATCTGTGGAAGAAGAATCGACGGCTTTTCTCCCGTACGAGAGAAGTGTGACGGACCCATCTGCTTCTTGTACGTATCGCATTAAGAATCACACAACTCACTCCGCTCATATTTACATTTCTTGGTATACCTATGCTAGGGAGGCCAAAGTGAAAAGTTCCCAGGAAGCATTTTTGAAAGCACATTACAGAGGAATTAAGCATTGCTGACCATTGAAATGCCATACACTGTTAGAACGTGCTACAAAGTACAGTCAGTGAAAATTTCAGAGTCATACCTTGTCGGAAAGTTTAATTTTATTGCTTGTGAAAATGGAAAAAAAATTACAAAAATCGGCTTACACGGCGCTAGTCAATGAGCTATTTTTTCACAAGACATTTACGTATATGCCCTTGTGACATGTGTGTTATATCTCCTATATGGCCCTGTCTTGCATACATCGTAACTGTCCCCTCTTCTCATCATGTCATTTTCAGATACCAACAGAACTGGAGTGAAAATGGATCCGATGTTACAGACTTCGACCATCGAACCTGGCCTCAAACATCATGACGTTGCTCTCAGCAAGTTTGCTCTCACAACTGCTACCCTCTGTGTCATCGTTATTGCAATTCATTGTCTTCTCTGCCGAAGGATGAAATAAGGAAAGGGGCATGCTTAGGACATACCGATAACCTTCCGCACTATTTGATGCAGTTGTAACTGACTCGTACGTACTTGTTTCTAACCACAAAGTTGAGAACAGTTGGGAATGACAATGTATCAACAAGGAGAATTGTTTTAGCAGGTTACTAGAAAGGAAAGAGATGTAAAAACCATAGCGTTGCACATTATAGGCCGGGTGGCCTTTGCTCATGTTAGAACTGGTCAAAACTGTAGTTGTACGTTCGAGAAGGTATCTATTGTATTTCCAAAGATTGATGTCGATCAGCTTGTGTGTTTACTATTTTTCTGAGTCAAAATTCCTGCAATAGAAGTCATACCATTTGTGGAGCTGGAGGCTTTCCTTCTGGTGATGTATATCAGACTGGTTGGTCTGTATACACGATACATTTGCTGTGTCAGTTACACCGTTGTTTCCTATGTAAATATATATCTGGCTGTAGTGCAGTAAGTAGCGCTTAAGACTTGTTTTAAGGATCTGCTCAAAATATCACGACCACGATGACACAAATGATCAGACATCTTCAGAATCAACATTTTCTCTCTGTTTGATATTCATTGCTTCTTAGACAATAAATCATATCAACGAACGTTTTGCTTGTAATGTTTCTGTCACTCTTTTGTCTCCTAATTGGGTAGTCCCTTTTCGTGAAAGATTTGTGCTTAAGCTCTTTTTATTATTCCAACATGTAATCACCAGACGTGGTGACGGCACACTCAAGTTTTTTCAACTTATATTAATGCCGCCACCAACACAGGGGACAAATACATGACAGGACAATACTCATTTACACCTGAGCTAAGTGAGGAAAGTCGTGTAAAGTGCCTTTCCCAAGAGCACAAGATCGGTGGCATGTCAGGACTCGAACCCGGGACTCTTAGTTCCGAGTTGAGCACTCTGCCGATACGCCACACGACCCCACAAAGCTTAAGCTCTTCTTTCGTTAATGCGTAATTGCGGTCGTAATTGACGTCCATACCTACCTACACAAATCTGTATTTTCACGTCTGGCACCTCGCCCACACCTCTTGACTAGTACTCAGGTCTTTAGGAAATTTCCTTACACTGTAAATCGTTCATAGGCAGCGATACCGGGAAGAGAGGAAGTAGTCAATATGCAGTACCTCTCGGAAAAAGAAGACAAATTTGCCTGGTGTGCCAACGTTACCGAAAAACAACAAGTTTTAACATTACAGAGCGTCATATCTCTAATTTCTTTACTTTGAATTTTCCTTCTATTAACTTTTTGCCTGTGACATTTTGATGAAAGTTATTGGTTTTCTGTCCTGTTTTCAAGTTTTCGTAATATCACTGTTCTGCCCTGTTTTCAAGTTTTCGTAATATCAGCTCCTGACTATTATAATAGTGAGTACAGCTTTTCAGCTCTTAGCCTCGCAGATATACACAAAACTGGGACTAATCACGTTTTGACTCAAGTTGATATCGTTCATAGGGTGTCTACAATTTGACATGATGTAGCACAAGATTATATTAACAAAGACAAAAGTTGGAGAGCGGTCTGATGTCTGCCTGCCTGTCTGTCCGCCGCCAGACGATGTCCTTGGTGCTGAAATGGGAGTGACTTTAATAGTGTGGCTAAACGTATTTGAAACTGGCATTGTGGATTTTCAGTCCTAATGGTTGCTTGGTCAGCCATCCCGAGGAGAAAATCAAATACCAGCAAAGCTTCTCTTAAGGCCACAACAAGTAATTTTTATGAACGACATCAGCGCGCGCATTAATTTTGAAAAAAAAAACAAGAAATTTTGTTGCCTTCTGACAGTGGTCACCATGCCGAAAATAGGCCAAGATGTCTGTTGCCATGCCGGAAGGTGGATGGCAGATAATTATAAAGAGTGGAGACAAGACAAGGCTCTGATTTTATGTTTTGTTTCTTACTTTGATGCAGTGATATGTGATGTTGGCTGTGTATATGTGATGTTCCCATTGAATCAAAACCATTTGTACAATGATTGAGTCAAAATTTCAAAATGTAAGAACCTTGTTTTTTCGGCCCGCCTTGTTTTTTTTCGCCCGCTTGCATTAGATTTAGAATCTGTGGAGGATGCCATCCAGAAAATTTACTTGCTGTGGCCTAACGTCATTATACGTGTGCACAGCGGTCAGCGAACTGTGCTCTTGAACGTAAAGCTCAGACGAATCAGCGCGATTTCTCTATTCATGTCACCCACGTGGTGATGATTCGTCTACCTTGAACATATTATTTCGAAACAAACAAGTCACAAAGCAAAAACCGTGCAAAAATCCTCGTATTAATGACTATTCATGACCAAGATATGAGTCTGGAAATCTACTTTCCACGACCGGAATCTCGCCCACACTTCATGCATAGTTATCGGTCGTGGGGTCTGACGGAAATTGGTCTGCCCAGTCTGTCTGATCCCCCTCCCTCAACTGCCTTTCAATAGCGTAAGCTGTACGAGCACCCTACCACAGATCGACAGTGCTGTATTCTTCCTATATTTCGTATATACCATCAGGTGTCCAATATCATGCACATTTTGGGGTTCATAGGTGATGCATGTGCGAATCTCCAAGACACATTTACTGGGTTGTTACACAGTTCATAGGCAACAATGCACGTAAGGGAGGAAATAGTTAATATGCAGTCCATGCAAACAGGATACAAAGGTTGATTGTCTGGGCTTCAGTCGCTTATATGAAACGGAAAAGCTCAGGCTTTTGTTCAGTGCGTCTGAAATCCCCGTTTCGCTAAAATGATCGCTCGTGTAGACCAACAGTTGAGAACGCTGTTCGTCCTTCTTTGGTTTCAGTTTGGTTTAGCACAGTACAGTGCTGCAGGTGTAAATCAAACATGTTTCGTTAACGTAAACGCCGAGCCAGTGATTCTGTGTCGAAATCAAACTGACAGCTTCACGTTTTTGTATGCCCGACCTGACATTTTGGAGGAATTACTGTTAAGCGACAATCTAATTCGATCTTTCCCAAATTTGCCCTACTTGCCAAAGTTACGCAAACTCATTCTCAAGCAAAACTTGCTGGTGACGTTTCCGTGGCTATCATTGGGAAATGCTTCCCACCTCCGAGAGTTAGTCCTAGACAGCAACAACCTAACATCTATCGACATACGTGAGTATAGTGTTCCAACAAACCTGCGTAAACTTTCGGTGTGTGAAAACAGTTTACACTTCATTGCGCCCTTTCCGAATTTGCGGTACCTGAAAGAGCTTACACTGAGCGAAAACAGGCTTCGAGAGTTTCCGTGGGAATCCCTCCTGAACCTGCCAAGTTTGGTAAGGCTAGATCTCTCCTATAATAACTTAGCACAGGTCGAGCCTCCTATATTGTACCGTCTAGCGCATCTCAAAATCCTGGATCTTCGAGCGAACAACATGACACTCCTCTCTGAGGCCTCTTTGCGTACAAAGCATCCGATCCGACTTCTACTGGGAGGCAATCCCGTACATTGTAATTGTAACCTATCTTGGCTGATGGAAATAGATTGCGAGACGAGCCCAACGTGTTGCACGTATAGCGAATACTGCAACGGAAATGAATGCACCGTATGTTTAGGAGAAACAGAAAAGATATCAAATATATTCTGTGAGGCTCCTTTCAAACATGAAGGTAGATATGGACTGGGGAGACTTCTGAAAAAATGTGAGCCCCCTCAAAGCTCGACAATAATGTCTGTTGGAACAACTGTCCCAATGTCGACACTATCTGTAGAGAGACCGACAAGTCAGACGTTCAACCCACAAGAACAGAACGAGACATCTCCTCTATGTGAGTATTATGCACCTATCTCTTTCCTTGTTTGCCTCTCTCTCTCTCAATCTCTTCCTCTCTAACTCTCCCTCCCTCTCTCTCTCTCTCTCTCTCTCTCTCTCTCTCTTTGTCTTTCGCTGTTTCTGTCTGTTCCCGAAATTGTATTTTGGACCCTTGTGTGTTTTTATTCCAGATTCAGATGCCACATCTGTCACATCTACAGCGGAGAGATTCATGACATCTGCACCGCAGCTCACTCTCTCTCCCCGGCCCCGGGCTTCCCCACGTCCACCCCTGACTCTTCACCCGGCGCTCATCGCCCTGCCCCCGGCCGTTGTTGTCGTTGCCTTCGGTATTTGCGCCACGGTTGGCTTCAAAAACTTGCGCCAACGTCGCCAACGTCAACATCGCCGTCCCCCTAATCCTCGTGGTCAGTGCGTCAACGCAAACTACGGGTGCCAGCAGAGGGACAGTTATTTCTTTGACGCCGGCACGACGCAGCGTCCAGCGGTAAGTGGGGAGAGCGAGCGGCCACAGACCGAGGAGCCGCGCGCTCGGGCTATGTCCTCTTCCTGCTACAACATGGCTTCAGACTTCTCCTCGGAGGCGACCGAATACGGCGCGGCAGCCAGAGTTCCATACTCTCCCCGCACTCATGTCAGAACAAATAATCAGACATATACCAACGAAGAGGTCTTCTGCGGCACCCCTACTGTTGACGCGGACCCCGTGTCGTTCTTCGCCGACAGTTCGGCGTACGGTCACACAGATCAGGCGATGTCTGAGGACTCGTTGCGCCACGACAGTGGGTCCGTCTCACCGCTGTACAAGACGTCACTTGACGCGATCTACCACACCTTTGGTGAAGAAACTCGCACGGGAAACCGACCATCCGAACATGACGAACATTAGGGATCCTACACACTAAGAAATAACACTCAACCTCTTCTATAAGAGCTACAATGAGAGGAAATAGGCTCATTGCATAATTAGTCGAGTTGAATTAGTATACAGGAGTATGAGCCGCCTCGTATACGTACAGAACACGTTCTTGCTGTACACTGACTATGAAAATTATCAAAT